GATGCCCTACATAGCTCGAGTAGGAAATGCCCTACACAGCTGGTGTAGGAGGATGCTCCTTGCGGCAGATGCACGTAAGAAAATGAACTGTATGAATTCAAATGGAAAGCCACCCTTACATTTTTCATTAAAAAAAACATGCCCATCTGAGATCTGTCTGGAAAACACGGAAGTTGCTGAGCATCCTATCTCTCTCTACAGGAAACTCATTCTCTCTCCTCACAGCACAAACCCTCCAATTGCAAAAGCCATTTGTCACATAAAAACCCTATCTCTCTCCTCGCAACCCAACCCATCTCTCCTCAGAGAACCCTTATCTCTCTCTTCTCGCAGCCCAACCCACCTCTCCCTCTATACAAAACAACAATTTCTCTCTCACACACAGAAGCCCTCTCTCTCCTCATGCAACAACCCTCTCCCTCTATCCATTTCTCTCCCTCACCCCGAGAATGCATTTCTCTCACAGTAGAAACACCCAAAATCGCAGAAGAAGAAGCAGCAACAGCAGAGCCCTCTCTCACACAGTATAAACACCCAAAATCGCATAAATAAGTATGGGAAGCTCCATTTTTTGTTAGGGTTCTTTATTGTTTTTGTTTCTTAGTCAGATGTTTTATTTGTTGTGCTCGCTTTTGATTTTTTATTTTTTACTGTGATTTTGATTTCATTGGTGTGTTTATTAGGATTATGTATGAGTTTTGCATTTTGGGTGTTATTGGGTTCTTGTATTACAGCTCTGCTGCTGCTGCTGCTGTTTCTGTGTTTCTTGTTTTATGTAGATATCTTTTGTGTTCTGTGGGACACTATGCAACCCATATCTTTCTAACAAGATATGATGTTATAATATATGGACTAATTCAATCTTTCTTCATATGCAATGTCATTTTGGATGGACGACCACGCAACACAGGAACGCAATAGGGATTTAATCATGATATGGGTTTGGCTGCTGGCTTGGCGGATGCATAAAGGTTTATGTCTTATTCTTTGTGCCCTTCCTTAATTTCATCTACTAGCATTGTATCACTTCACGCCTGAGTTTCTGTGGCTAAATATCTCCTAATGTGGTGTTGAATTCTTTGGCTTCTTTTGTAGCCGACTTGAAACCTCAGTAGATGCTTCGCAGTCCTTTAACTATGGCTCTTACAGTCATTTCATGAAAGAATGCCCCAAACTTCATGATATTGTTGCTGTAAAACATGCTCGCAAGAAATACAATATTTCTTTTTTTCTTTAATATCATTTCTGACGTGTTGTTTTCTATATATTGGATGCTCATCGGTAATTTGCAGAGCCTTATCTCCGTATTCTGTTTTATGAAAAAGTCTGGAAAATGTTTTTATAGGTCTGCATTTGAGTTGCTAGTTTGTGACATTTATGGATGGGAAGCAAACATGCTTTTTTGTAATGGAATTTGTATACAAATACTTGTGTTTAAAGGGAGCTTCAGTCACAGTGAGCAAACTTTAAGATTCAAACAATTGTATTGAACTTGTTGAAATCGTTGAAGAAATATTATGAGTCTGGCAAATTGTCATATGCAATATATCTTGTTTGCTTCCGTTGTGATTTTGTTGGAGGAGCTCGCCATAGCCAATCACTCTTTTATTTTTTTTCAAAAGTTCTCTTTTCATTGCTACAATTTTTTTTTTTTATCTTAGTAACTTTTTATTTTTTATTTAAGAAAAAGAAATTGGAAAAGAGAACTTTTGTTAGCTATCATCCTTTATTGCGAAGATGTTCAATGATGGGTGTTGTTTACTTACTCTGCTCTTTTCTTTCATATGCACCGAAGTTACCTGAATTTTCATTTTGCAATGGTTATTTCCCTACTTTGAAAGTCTCATTACACACGGGGTCCATCTCTATAGCATGCCATGATATAATCTTGCAACTGGTTACAAATAAACAGTGATAAAATCTCGCAACTTGTTATGTCCTATATTAAGTCAAACTGCACTCCTCCCCTCTCCCTGTTGACACTGAACAATATATGATTTGCTTCCTCTATTTTGTAATAACTGGAAATTATTGAAGTTGCACAAATGCATGTGAGTACCTCATTGAATGAATTTCTTTTTTCTTTCTTGCTCTTCATCAGTAATTACCAAATCTAAAAAAAAAATTCCGGGAAGAGAGAGAGAGACCAGATGCCTCGTTGAAGAGGGTGGCATTTAGAGCATGAGAATACAAAACCTTATTAAAAAAAGGAGATTTCTAAGAGAAATTCATTTCCTTGGTTTCTTTTTTATGAAAATGGGATGCAAGTCTAAACCTTTGAACTAGATAGTATTTCATCAGTTTCCACAAATGCTGGGGGGATATCCATGGCGAACCTATCCACAGTACAACTTACAATGCAACTTTAAGTACATCAAGCTCCCTAACTAACCCTGGAAGAAAGTACTACCAGTGTCCAAATTGCGGCGGCTGTTGTTAAGGGGCGTAATACTCATTTCTTTTCTATACTGAAAAAAGAAACCGCACCCATTGTAAAAGAACTACAAGTGCAGATTACTACTTTTCATGAAACAATCCACATTCACCACACAAATCCGCAAATTCCCTCTATAATTAGCATCGGGACTTCAAACATTGTGCTTACATATTCCTGTATTTACTCTTGAATCATTTCCATACAACACAATCACCACATCCACCACACATATATCCATTACAATATTGCATTTTACCAAAAAATAATTCTTTAGTGTCCCCATTTCCATACAACACAATCACTAGGTTCACCACACATGTCCATTACAAAACTTCATTTTACCAAAAAATTGACTCTGTATTGCCCCATTTCCATACAACACAATCACCACATTCACCACAACTATGGAATGTTTAACAAAAAATAGCTCTTGAACTATAAAAATGAGCGTTTAACAAAAAATGGCTCTTGAATCTTTTGCAAGAATAAGAATAGTTTTGATCTATTACACACTGAAATAGAGGAGAATAGTCTTAATATTTTACCAAATTGCATAAAGATAACAGCATGGAACACATGGGGAGAGACTGAAGAGCATCTTTGTTGGCTTAAAGGAACACTAACTATTTGTGAACTTGAGGGAAGAGACCCATAATTGGGAATTTAGTAGAGAGAGAGAATCAAATTTGTGTCTTTAATCTCTACAATGATTAAATTCTCCGCTACTATTTTGTTGCACCAAGGGAGACATGATGAGAGAGAAAACTTTAGAGAGAAAGAGAGATGTCAAACAGAAAGGTTGAAATTCTTAGGAATGAGAGACATGCAACAGACAGCATGCACATGCATCCATATATACAACATGCCAGCATACATGAGTACATAAAATATTTCATACATAGATGCATAATACATAATGCTGCTTACCATCAATGCTCATGTCCCACGTTCTTACGGGACCGAATCTTACTGTGGACATTGAAAATAACCATGTAGTAATGCTCATGTCCCACGTTTTTACGGGACCGAATCTTACTGTGGACATTGAAAATAACCATGTAGTAAGAAAAGAAATTGCAATATTAGCATTTCATAATGCATTCACATTGAGTAATATCATATGAAAATTCGAATACATCTAGATTGAAAAGCTTATACAATTACAATTCAAAAGAATCTAAAGGTATGGATTACTACTTTTCACAAATGAATGACGGACAATTTCTTCTGTCATGCCCATTGCCCTGGTAAACTGCACATTTCCTAGACTTTTTCACTGGCTTCCATCCCTCTTATTTGAGCTTTTTTTATTGTATTTGTCGGTCATCCCTTTGCCCATGCTCGTGGAGGATCAAGGACATTTTGGCAATTATAACTTCCATTTGGTGTGTCACTACAACTAGTAGCACTCATCTCATCATTGACATGGCTCATGGTGTCAACCTGCGGACATCGCTTACAACCGAATTTATTATCAACGTCTATGATATCATCGTGTATTAAAGACATTATAAATTCATGAACCTCAGCACTTTCTAACGCATGCTTAGCGAGGTATCGAACAGCCTGCAACACATCGTTATATTGAATGGAGCGTGGTAGTGTAGATGTATCATGAAGTTGTTTGTCACTTACATCAACAAATCCCCTCCCCCCCCCCACCCCCCCCCACCTTTACGTCCTTTGACCAACGCCTCATTATGTATTGTGGAGAGATTTCAAATATATTTTTCATCATAAAAATCTTCAACACATGCCTGCAAAGAATGCCCATCCTCTCATATAAGTAACAATTACAAGAAGTCATCGTCTCATGAGGATTGAATTCCATCAGATATGATCTAGATCCAGTTCCCATATCTGCCAACTTAAAAGTAACAAGCTATCCATTGTCATCAACAAACTCACTCATAAAATTCATACTATTGGCAACCTCTTCCACAAATATCTTCAAAATCTTTTGAGTATAGATTTTTTATACTTGTGATTCAAATAAATAAGTTGTTCTTAAGATTGGAATAGTTGTAATGTCTTTTAAGTCGTTTTCCTTTTCTTTTCGTACCTTTTTATCTTGCACCTTTGCACATATTTCCAATAATATACATAAGCTTGTTTTGGATGTCAAGTGTATCTTGAAATGCTTATTCATCCCTTCACTTCTTTGAGTAGAAGTTATACCCGTTGTGAACCTGCCAGTCAAGTATGTATCCATCCATTGCATGCGACAACCATTAAGTTTATTTAGTTATTCATTGCTTTCCAACTCATATTTCTCAATAATAAATTTTCATCCCAATTCAAATTCTTCTACTATTGGGCTAGCGATACAACTCTTGAAGGTATCTGAAAAAGAAGGATGCATGCGCAAGACATGGCATAGTTTTTCTTTAACTTTTGAAAGTATATGCCACTTACAGTAATAATGCTCACACTGGTAAAAAATTGTCTCATTATGGCTTAAATTACATGGTCTTGATCAGTGAGAATAATGCTTCTAACCAATTTTCAAATACCCAAACAAATGATTCTACATTCTCATTAAATATGAGTGCAAATCCAAAGAAGATTATATTGAAATGGTGATTTACACCAAGTATGGGTGCAAATGACATACTAAAATAGTTTGTTTTGAATGTGGTATCAAATGTAACCACATCAGAGTAGCATTGATAGAAAACTTTACATGTGGCTTCTACCCATAAGATGTTGGGAATATGATTGTCTTCATCTAATTTCAGTCTATAGAAAAAAGATGGATTCTATTCTTTCATTTTATAAAGCTACTGCATTATTAGACTACCATATTCTCCTCTTAGTTTTCTTCTGGCACTATCAATTTCATTTTCGATGCCCTTTTGTGTACATGTGACATTTCAATCCCTCCAGCTTGCGATATAAATATGTCATGAATATATCTTGGCTTAACTATTGCCGAACTCATTGAATTTATCATCAACTTTGTGGCACTAAACAATGTTTGGTGGCTGCGAATTAGATGAGCTTTTTTTGGAATGACTAGATTGTGATTGTGATCATCAATAAACCTAGTCACAACCCACTTGTTGTTTGCTTTTCTCCCAACTTAGCCTTAAACCCACACCTTGATTCAGGGAGTTCCTTTCCACTGACCTGATCTTTCACTTCGTGAAATCCGTCCTTAGAGCAATTAATTTCTCTATCAATCATTTGACCTTTTTTGTTATGGGTAGTGCCCTTGCGGATACCAAATGCATAAGCATTATAGTAGTCAATTGCATCAACCTCTGAAGAAAACTTCATTCCTACATAGGGTACATTTGTTTTTAGGCCTTTGGTTGAGGAGTCAAGTTCTCCATCTTGCATTTATGTGAAGTTTTTTAGGAAGGGTTGCAAGATAAGGAACCTACTCCAGGGGCTTATTGGTGTCACACATGTTGTCTACAATTGCGCAAGTGGGAGATGACACATAGTCTAAAACGGTGTATTCCATCTATATTTTTCAACTGACCCTACATAAGAAAACAACTATATAAATATATGTATTCAAACCTTTATATAAACACAACAACACTCCTAGTAGACCAGATAGCCCATTTGTTAACTATTCAAATTTTATTGCTTCCATTATAAGATCAACCATATTCGAAGCAATTGTAAACAACAGGGGTGGCACCCTTATTAATGTGAACTTAACTCTTAAAGTAATGTGTATGAGAAAAGAGTATTATCCATTATACAAACTCTACCGACATAAACAATCCATAGTTATATACACATGATCAACATCTCAATACACAAAAAAGGCATACAATATTTAGGGCGTGTTTGATAGCAGGAAGTGTCTTTCAAGAACTTGGAACTTGGAACTTACCTAATATTGTTCATGTTTGGTGTTTGATAAAAAAATAAAAGTTAAATAGGGAACTTCACTGTTGAACTTCCCCTCTTCGTGTGTTAAAAACGTTCTGACCAAACTGTCGGAACTTGAAATGGGAAGTTTTTATAAAACTTCACCCCCGATAAAAGTTGCACTCAAATACAGTCCTCCTCTCCTCGGGTCTCTTGCCCTCATCGCCCGCT